TTTTGGTCGCATATGCAACCTCTTTTAAGAGTGTGCAAGAAAAAATTTCACGTCGTCTCATTCATGCGAGTGTAAGGTGATCATTAGCATTGCTCTGCAGCGCAACTATTTTACTCGCAAATGCCCCGCCCCTAAAGTGCAAGCATACTGTGTTAGCAAAGACCGCAAACTACCATAATCCCCGCCGCCTCACCGCTAACCGTTAAAAAACTGACTGGCAGTGAGCACTGGCAACAGGGAGAAGATTAGTAAGGTTTGTGTTTGTCTATCTGGTAATTAGCTATTAGCTATATCAGGTGCCATTTGTTGAAACATTCAACTTTTAAAGTCAAGGAGTTCGGCGACAAACCAATCACAGACTGGATGGGGCAGGACAAAAAAAAAGTTATGTGCAAACTTTCAAAATGTTGAACTGATTATTCTGCATGCATGAATGTTATGATTATTGACGAGTTATCACTTAGCATTAACTAATTAGAGACTAACTCACCACTATGTAGAGCATTTTTCTTGCACAAACATTTAATAAATGAAAACAAGCCACAAAAATGCTGTTAAGTGCTGTTACTGGAATTAATATCATACCAGTGGAAAAGTTCATGTGAAGCCCTGTGTTGGGATGAACAGAGAGCTGAGCAGGAAGGCAAAGCTCTCGATCTACCGGTCAATTTTTGGATCTACCCTGACCTATAGTTATGAAGGCTGGGTCATGACCGAAAGAACAACATTGTGGGTACAAGTGACCGAAATGGGCTTTCTCAGGAGGGCTGGTGATCCAGGCACGTCTAGCTGGGAGGGAGGGTGGAGAGATTATATCTCCACATTGGCCTGGGATGACCTCTGGATTCCCCAGTCAGAGCTGGTTAATGTGGCTCGGGAAAGGGACGTTTGGGGTCCTCTGCTGGAGCAGCTGCCCCAGCGATCCGACCCCGGATAAACGATTAAAGATGGATCGATGGATGGATTGCTTTATGTACTGTATGTATGCGTCATGTATCTTATGTTTAAGTATGTATGTGTTCCGTGTTTTATGTGTGTGCAAAACAAATTTCCCCTTAGAAGTCAAGAGTCACAGCAGATTTTACACAATGGTCAGATGTCAAGGTCAGGCCAGCAGAGAGTGTGATCACTTTGCAGCTGGGTTTTGAAAACCCAGGAAGCATGGCTTCCCTCTTTTGCCAGAGAAACCTTACATCATCTCATGTCCAAAGCCAGCACGTACAAACATCAACACAATGTGTCTCCTCACATATCATATACTGAGTAGATAAAAAAACATTATTGTTATTATCAGTGAATCTGTTGATTATTTTTCAATTAATCAATTATCTGTTTAGTTTAACAAATGTAAAGAATTGAATAAGAAAAAGCATATCACAAGTTCCCAAATGTAAGATGTTGGAACCAGGAAATCTTTGTCATCTATGAAGTCTTTTTAAGGGCTTGAAAAGGACATTGGTGATAAAAATTGGATTTGGATTGGATTTTTCTTGCTAGTCCAGTAGATTCACATACTAAAAAGGGGAGGCACTCAAAGTTAAGCACTCAGCGAGGTCAGGTGGTTGCATTATTAACATTGCAACCACCTGAGCTGTCTCACATACACAGTAAAGAGCACAAACATTGACAAGTCTGTTCATGCACTGAGAGACCATTAAATAAGTACAGACACTGCTTTCTGAATCTAATTAAGGTTTCTGCCTTTTCTCTCGTCAAAGATCTCAGACAGGAAAGAGGCAAACAAGAAGTGGGAGGGTGGACCAAGAGGCGGCAAAGAGGGGAAAAAGGAGGAACCAATGAGGAAGAAATAGAACCGAGAGAATGGTCGATCCACTTCGGCGGACAACTTAGATCCAGCGCGTACCACAGTTTCATCAATCGCAACAGTAATCTAGAGCCACAGTAAGTGAATACTAACTGCTAGCTGACTGACTGGTACACACACAAATGCATAGGGGGATACTATAGTGAACACATATTCGCAGACAGATGCAAACAAATGCACACATAGGCATAAATAAAAACAGCCACAGCCACTGTCTTGCAAAAACTCTCATACGGGTGGTTAAGGTATAAGCAGCACACTGAAGATGTCACATTCTCCTTGCTAATGAGATTCGACATGTTATTTCTTCCTCTGCAATACTAAGGAATGGCAGAGCGGCACTGTGCATCTTAACAACACAGGCCCGGTTTGGCTGAAAACATAATTCTTTCCCGGTGAGGGCAGTGTGTTTAAAATCAAGTTAGATATACACCCACACACAATTCAAATGCCCTAAACACACACACTCATCCTAACAGTCACTGTGTATTTCTAGGAGGTCCAGTCATAGCATAGTGGTGGTGAAAACTAATGATCAAACCACGGTTGAAGTCTACCAACTCCATTGTGTGTGTGTGTGTGTGTGTGTGTGTGTGTATACGTGTGTCTTCTTCTACATGATATGAAAGTAGGTTTGAAAACACAGACAGGCTTGTAAGTTGAAGTAGTTGCCCCCAGGCACTGTAGTCATCCATCAATCCAAAACTCACACTCACATCATAACATTTATTCAAACTTAAAGGGAGAGAGAGTGAAAGAGACAGAAGCATTTGAGAGAAGGCTATCAAAATGACAGAATTTCATGTAGGAAATGCACGGCAAGGTTATTTGTATGGCAAATTTCAACAAAATGTAAGAAATTAATAAGAAGTCTTAATGCAGGAATCTTTTCTGTAATTGCTTATACCAACTAGGGATGAAACGATTACCGGTTTAACGGTAAAATTCCTTAATTCCTTACGGTTATTATTACCGTACAGATTTTAATTACCATGATAACCGGGAACGGTTAATCGCGCTATTATAATCTCACGGCAAACACTGTCCAGCGTCTCACACTAAGATGATTTTCATATGTTTACAAAAAGGTATTTGCCGTTATTTAATTTTTTATGCAAACAAAATGGCAATTGTATTTGTAGTTTTCAATATAAAACTTGATAATTTTCCCTAATACCAACATCTCCTGAAATATCTTTCTTACTAAACGAACCTATTGAATCTAAACTTGAATAAGTACGCTATAAGTGTGCTACATCTCCTAATTGGTTCTGATGTGAAAGAAATTCTACTCTCAATTCAAGAAAGGGGAGAGTCACATCTGAAATGAGTGCTAAAAAAACAGTAGAGAGAAAAATAAGCTGTGCTCCATAATAGTATTTTTGATTAATCATAATCACGAACTTCTCTCCCCGCAAGCAGACAACAACCTCAACACAGCAGGGGCTGGGGAGTGACCTTAATAAACATACCTGCCAAAACTTCATTAGATACAGAGCAGGACACCAGTTCATTATGTGAGGATCAAACACAATCCGCCATGTGGCCTTTCCCAACCACTTCAGGAAATAAAATAAAGCCTAATCTCTAAAGGGAGGAAGAGGATAAATCTATGCACAGCAGTCTACCTGATAAGCAGCAACACACTAAAACATGTTAGCTATGCAGCAGATAATTATTAAATATAATAACTACTTTATGGAGCAGACAGTCCCTTTTCTAAAATCAGTACTACTGAGAACAGAGAACAAGAGCTCAGCAGTTTAGACAGTAGGCTAATTATGGAGAATAAAGCAAGCTGTCACATTAATCCATTCTCTAATGCCTTGCTGGATGTGTGCAAAAAAGTCTTGCGACTACCAAGGTGCGAGAGAAGCCATGCTGTGTTTGACAGTTAGCTCCAGAAAAGGGGTATGTGAATGGGTAATGTAAACGGCACAGGTGGAAGTATTCAGACCCTTTACTTGAGTAAAAAAAGAGCATTAAAAAGGTTAACTAAGAAAAAGTATGTGAGTATAGTCATGAAATGTACTTAAAGTATTAATTGTAAAAGTAGCCTTAATGCAGAAAATTGTGTGACTGTTTACTACATTATCTACATTATTACATCATCACTCATAGTTATGCTAAATAAATTTATATAATTAGAATGATTAAAGTTAAATTAAATTAAATCCTCACACTTGAGAAGCTAGAACTATTAAGTTATAAAAATAGTAGCTGATTCATTTTCTGTCTGTTATTTAATAAGCTCTTCATATGTTTTGTATGTAAAAATCTTAACCTGTGAACTAACAAAAGCTGTCACAATGTAACGTTCGTGGAGTAAAAAGTAGAGCTTCCTCTCTGTAATGTAGTATGAAGAAGAAGAAAGTGGTATAAAAAGAAAGAAAACTACAGGAAAGTTGGCTACAAGTATTTAAATGTACTTAAATGTACTCAGTTACATTCTGCCACTGGTAAACAGTGATTTTAATGTGATACCCCCACAAACACACACATCTAACAAGATATGCCACAAATACAATTCAGCCCATAAAAATTTTAATCCTAAAACGTTAGAATGATGTTACAATTGACAGCAATGCAAATACTACACACAGGTAAGTCAATGACAGACAGCCAGCAGGCATAGATAAAACGTTACTGCACATTAAAGCAGCCATAACATTAACAGCTTCATAGCAAGACACTAACTCACAATAAGCAAGTGAGCACAAGCAGCAAGAAACTTACTTACATTAGCTCTGTGAGGTAAAGTGGAGATCTCTGCACATCTAAGGGAAGTTACATCCTCTGAGAAGACTTCAAGCTGCCAACAGGTGAACAGGAATCTCGGCTTCAGCTTGGCGTTTAGAGTCGAAGGTTCATGACCAACATTTAGCATGATTTCCTCCACAAAGCTGACCTTAAGCAAACTGTGGGCATGCTAGCTTGTATATTTTACTGCTAACGCTAACGTGAGCCTCAGCAGAACGAGCCTCACGTGGTTACAGAAACGTTGACTGCGTTGTTGAGTGTGAGGGTTTAGTTTTTGTCCGTCCGCTATATTTGGCTCTCGTAACTGCTTGGCAGATTCAGCAAGCTAGCGTACCCAAGCACCAATTTAACTATTTTATTTTCCTTATTGTTTTCTCTTATGTCTTTTCTTCTCTCAGAAACAAAACACATGGGGTAACACAACAACTGAGAGCGTTTTTCTGATGAGCAGCACCTCAGCTCACCTGTGACCAGTGGGCGGATCATTGACAGGTTCGAGGGTATATTGAGTTTATTTTATTGCGCATTCATGTGGTGTCGGGAATAATAATAATAAATATACTATAATAAAATACTCTTAAAGTCTGAGGAAATTCTGCTACAGGAGTTGCCGAATTGTTGACATCATACAGTAAAAACATGGCAGACAACGTAATTGATGGTTAGAAACATTTGATTAGCCTACTGGTGAAAGATCAGGTATTGCATATATGCCTACATATGTGTATGTATATATAGGGTGTCATTTGTAATATGGTATTAGGTTATAACAGTTAGTAGTAGATTAATTAGGAAAGTTATTTGGCTTATTAGCAGTATTTGCAGTACAAGCAATATTTTAGTGGTTGCAGGTAATGTACTGGTGCAGTAAAAACTCTGGTACAAAAATTAGCTTCAAACTGTTTCAGCATAGTTGGATGACAATGATAATGCTAATCTAACACATCTTCATAGTAGCATCCATGTTATTTCCACTTTCCGACTTAAAGCGCATGAACACACCGAAGTCGGCTGAACAACTTGGGAAATGGGACCATCAGAGGAGCACATGAATGCAGCAATCCATTTCTATCCCTGCTTGGGGAGCTACATGAAAAGATTGTGGAGATGCTCAGGTAAAAAGTATATGTGTTTGTTTTACTTTTTTTTATATATATTGCAGCTAGTCTGGCTATGCCCAAAAGTAACACATGCAGACTATCTCATTTGTTTTATCAAGTAGTTTACATAAAGTGAATTATGTAGGCTATCCTTAAACAAATTTTCTGGAGTTTGCCGTCAACCACTGGACTTCTTGTTTTCAGTCTGTGCTAATCTAAGATAACCTTAAGCTAACTGCAATTGGTCAGTTATGTGTAGTTTTGTTTGTTTGTTGTTGTTGTTGAATCACAAATCACTTCGAATTAATGTTAAAGTTGAACCATGTTTTTTTAGTAATAAAATATTTTTCCTAATAATAATAAATTAAACTCCCACATGGTTAAAAATATTGGCTGATCAACATATTTCTATATAAAAATAGACATGATCTGAACACATGAAAAATCATAGAGGATGGGAATTCAGGAGAGTAATATTTTCTTTAAAGCTCAGGTATGTTTTGACGTCCTTAGTGTTTTGGGGGGGGTTGCAGGGCAGCTCAAGAATCAATTTGCTGACTTCAAAGAAATGGCTAAACTGTTGAAAAAATCAACCCAAAGTGCTCTGAGCAGGCTGACGCTGAAGAGAAAAATTCTGGATCTTGCACATTTCTCAAGAGCCAGCGAACCTGAGGAGCAATGCACATGTTTCGGCACAACATGACCTGTGTTAACCATGGATGATAACACTGACACCATGTTGCGATGACATACTGTATATTGTGCATAGCGACAGATTTACCATCTGCCGCCGATTCTATATGAGTCTTTGACAGCACGTATGCCAGATGATGGTTCAGCTGTCTGACAGTGTGTTTTTATTCATGTGCATCTCTACTTGAATGTGAGTTGTGTTGTTGTGGTCGCTGTGCCAACATTGCGTTCTTGTGTGCTCAACTTCTTGTGTACTACTAATCTAAAAGTGAATGGATGAGAGGGGTTTATCGCTTTTAAAGCTCACTTTTAGGCCTTTTTTTCAACTCTGTTGTAATACTAATGCAGCTACCTGTGTGTTCATAAGTCAAAGCAGATGATGACTCGCATTAGAGTGAGGAGAATATGACAGAATTTCAATCCTGAGCTAAAGGAAAGGTGCATTTGTTTCAAAATTTGTTTTCACATTTTTGCCAGCATGACACGAAGCAACAAGAAACCTGCAAAGGGACAAAGAGAAAGAGATGACATGTAATAGCAGTAGACCCAACCCTGCATGGATTTCTTAGATTACTCAGCTACTAGTACGTCTTGCAGTATTCTGAATTAAGATGCCACATGTAAGGTTGTAAAATGTAATACAATTTTAACTCAACCCGCTTGTGAATCTGTGTGAATAATAATTTATATGCCAAATGAACTGGAATGGGTCTTCTATCCTCTGCATCAGAGTGCGAGGGTCTCCTACAGTGGAGGTAAATGAAGTGCAGGATCAAAGACCTGGCTGAAGCTCAGAGACACCGGAGGAGGTTAGACCTTCAGCATCCTCTCCTCTCCTCTATTTTCTGCTGGAGCTGCAGAAGTGTCTTCCTTTTTTATCACCATCAGTCTCTACTTTTTCTCTCTCGTCTCCTTAACTCTGTTGTGATCTCTCCGTCTTTAATCTGCTCCACTACATTCTGATCTGTTCTGAGATGCCTCTCGTCCTGTCTCTCTCCTTCTCTCTCCCGAGATCTAGTTCAAAGGAGGGGCCTCCCACTAAGTAACCCCCCCATCACCTCTCTCATCCATTTCTCTGCAGCAGCTCTTCCTCAGTGGGGGGTATTTAGGTTTTCTCTCTGACATCCTCCCAGTTTCTCTTTTTCTCTCTTCATCTCTCACTCTCTTCCTTCTGTCAGTAGCACTTTCTTCTGCTCCTTCTTCCTTCTTAGACTTGAACTAAGCTTTTGCGGAGTTACCGTAAAAGTCTTCACACACCTACGCAGAAAATGGTTTTATGTGTAACCGACAGTTGCCTTTAGCTTTATTTTCATTATACCGATACTCGGTATATAGCTTCTCCACCATCTCAGTCGCTGTAACTTACGTGATCCACATGATAGAAGTGCCATTCACTACAGTAGCATTATTTACTGCGGTATAACTGTTATGAAGTGTGGCAACAATCTAATTTATAACATTCAGCTTTGCTCACTAACCATTTTGTTATCATCATAACAATACATTTACATGTGCGAACAAGCTTACGCCGACATATCGCTTTGGCTAAATGCAGGCAGTGTAAAGTTATCATGTAGGGAGCATGGATTAGTTCAACCTCAAGCTGATAAAAATATTACTGTAACGTTGCAGTGGGAGTTTGCCTGAGTTTCCAGCATATTGTGTGAAGCTGTCTCCCTGTGTGTTGGATTATGCTCGCTCATGAGCTCGAGCATGTGTATGAGCACACACCAGGTTCAATTTAAGAACTGTACCGCTAGAGGCTGCTGAAAACTACATAATGCCCCTTTATACAAAAAGCAGAACAGTGCGTTTTTTATTGTTGCTAGACAAGCACAGAATCATCTGTCCTTAGCCTAACTGTTATTTTGTTGATTTATACCTTGAAATTTAAACATATATATGAATTGGACAGATGGTTTTGCAGGCTTGGGTCTGGCCTGGGTGATGGTCAGTTAAAGGTTTATTTTTAGGATGAGTCGCAACCTGATTGCGTGTATCTTGTTATCAGTTTTTATGCTTGCTTTATTGTCTTTGCTCTTGTGAAAATACTTAATGTGGTTTTAAAAAGTTCTCTATAAATAATGATGTAGATGATGGTGATTATTATTATTAGTAGTAGTAGTAGTAGTTTTATTAATAGTAGTATTTTGACAATCTGCTGTCAGTCATCGGACCTAGCATCACAAAAATTACCACTAACAATAGGAAGTCTGTTGGTCCTGTGGTAGGTTGTAGGTGAGACCAACGTTGTAACAAGCTGTAACAAGCTAAATGTTACAGTGATAATGTTGATGAACGTGAGCTAACGTTAACTTAACACAAACAATAAACCAAATGCTACCAGTTAACTGTTAGTACAGTATAAATTACTCAACAACTCACCGGAATCTCAAATACCACACTAATTTGCCTCCAGGCCTGCTGTTTTATGTTCAAATCATGGTAACAAAAGCTGGTAACATCATAAAGCTCCAGGTATCCAGCAACAGCCACCACTAGTTTGTCCTCCACTATTGTCATCCAGTTGGGCAATTGGGAAAAAAATGTCAATGAAGTTGGGCGCTTCTCTGTTCTGAGCTGAAGTTTTTTCAAGGTGCTCAGCACAAGGCGCGCAGGGCACATTAGCAGCGTGCTAAGTGTTTACAAAACGTTGAAATCAAAATGCATCCACACCAGCGTCATTTAGTGTTTTTGTAAAGGTCTCTGCCCACATTCAAACAAAACCCAAAGAAAGTAAAACAACTAAATCTGGCAGAAAAGACAATCTTTTGTCTTTTCCAACTTTCTCCATCATTTTAAATGTCAGTTTCCAGATTTCTCCACTCTGGAGACTGAAAATCTTGGCCTATAGTGTGGACAGAGGGCCAAAATGGAGAGAAAAAGATCCATTTTCAAATTCAGCTGGCTGAAGGGGCTAGTATGCTTCAACAGAACTGCTTGTCAAACTGGTCAAGCTGAGTCCCACCATTTCTCAAACTTTCCTAAATCAACAATCTGACATTCACACCTACTTCACACAGTGAGTGGCCAGCTGTTTGGCGGTGGGAAAGGAGCCTGGGTTTAAACTCTCTCCTCTTCCTTTACACAGCCATTTAGTAACTTTTAATGTGTGCAACAACACCATGAATGCCTTCCAGGAGGGACAGTCTAAAAATGAGACTTGTGCGATTATCCCCACACTTATCTCTCTCTAAATGCTCTGTATTTGTTAAGTGCCTTTCTAGTCTTTTCAACCACTCAGAGCACTTTTACACTACTTCTGCATTCACCATTCACACACTAAGTGCTCATACAGAAACCAACATTCACACACTGGTGGAACAGTTCAGGGTTCAGTATCTTGCCCAAGGATACTTCAACATGCAGCCTGGAGGAGCCGGGGATTGAACCACCAGCCTTCCAATTAACAGGCAACCCGCTCTACCCCCTGAGCCACAGCCACCTCTATGACAGCTAGCTTTCCAATGACTTTGGAACTTGGTGACTTTCAGAACAACTATAAACACTTTTGCCTTTGTCTGATCATGTTGTGTGAACTAGTTCTGTTCTAGCATAACCTGGCATAGTCTTATCAACGCCTTTCCCGTCCCCTCTCCTGACTTCCGCCCCCCTTTTCTTTCTTCTTCTAGGTCTGCTTCAGGCAAAGCCGATGTCCTGCTGAAACTATGCTGCTTAACCCGCCCTCCCATCCCTCCAACCCTCCAACCCTCCATCCCCCTACAGCACACACACACACACACACACACACACACACACACACACACACACACACACACACACACACATAACTCTCCTCCCTCTTCCTTCAGCATTTCCCCTCTATCCTCTCTCTGTTTCCCTTGACCCTTTGCCTCTCTCCACTTTCGCTAAAAGGGCAAAAAGTTAAGTGTGTCCATCCACATGAGTTTACTTGTGTGTGTGTGTGTGTGTGTGTGTGTGTGTGTATCCAGTCGATCAGTCGATCATCCTATTCAAACTCTTGACCTTTTCCTCCTCAACTGTAGCAGCCTCTTGTTCTGCAGTAATGATGCGTGTGTGTTTGTGTGTGTGTGTGTAGACTGGAGGGTGACTGGAATGGACATTATTTTAAAAAAAACCTTGTACAGTAGATAGATAGATTTAGTTTTGTGTTTACTCTGACTGTAATTTAATCAGAAGGGTTGCTTCCTCTCGGGCATCTCACTCTGCTGGTTAACTTAATGATATACAGATGATGATGATGATAGTTGATTATGATGATGAGGCCCTTACGTGCAGCCGCAACTGCATCTTCTATAGCTAGGATGGTAGGTTACACTCCCAAATAATTTCTCTCTCTCTGTCTCTCTCTCTGCCCTGCGATGGACTGGCAACCTGTCCAGGGTGTACCCCGCCTTTCGCCCAATGTCAGCTGGGATTGGCTCCAGCCCCCCGCGACCCTGTACGCAGGATAAGCGTTTGACGATGGCTGGCTGGCTGTCTCTCTCTCTCTCCCACACACTCACAAACACACACATAATACACATGCTACAAAAAAAATCATACTTAAAAGGCATCGCTTTCATTGAAAGTGACACTAATCCATGCGTGCACCAAAACACAGACCAAGGAAAGTCACACATACACAGCTCACTCTGCACACCCACAAAGTAAATTAAATAATGCAGATCTATACACACACACGTGTGACAACGGCAACCACCTATTAAAAACAACAATTAAATCTCAGTATGGAGGAGTGGCAGCCATTCCCCCTTTAGGAACCAACATTTACTAGTTTAGGGATGAGAGGAGACTTTTGCTCACAAGGCAAAGACAATTGACACAGATATAATCATTACCTCCACAAAGCCAGGATTGCATTGTTCCAACACGGACAACGTGTTGCTAATTTGCACCTTAATAGGATGGCCAATCTCTAGGGGGGAAATATGCTCCCCAAATAGCCTTCTTTCACAAATCTTGCAAAGTGCCTGCGGGTGTAGAGATGCAAATGCTGAGGTTTTCCATGGGCAGTACTTCTCACAACACAGCACTGCCCCCCCATGGTTATCAGTGGAACAGCAGGAGAGCAAATTCTCAGGCTCATTGGAGTCCACTCTGATGTTTCCAATGCTGTCAATACAAAGCCTGTTATTTTTATATGTGTGTTTTACATATTAACAACAACATTATCTTCGGAAACATAAAGAATGATATGGGAAATCAATATTATTATGTAATATGACATGACATATGTCCAACAAACAGCCCAACATGGAGGGAACCTTTAGATTTGAAAGAAAGGTCAACATTTAAACCCATAGATTATTGGCAAGATGTTCAAAAGGAGATAAAGGTGATTTTTAAATTGATTTTGGGAATCAATCTGACTCTGAAACCAGCACTCTTTATCCATCCTAATCATATATCAGATGGTATGTTGAGTTACTTATCAATGGTTTAAACTATAGTTGACAGCAGAAATATGGTCAGACAGATGTCTGATAGTTGCACAGGCCAGAAGATGTACCTAAACATGCATCTTCTAAAACTGTATCTGTTCTCCATCAAGATCATCGTCTCCGTATTTGGGATTTGCTCCGTTATGAAAAAAATAGTATAGTATAGTTTAAATATGTGAGCAAGACACAAAGACAGTGTTAGGATAAGGAACAGATGCCCCCGCCGCTG